TGCTGGCCCTCACCACCCGGAATCAGCTGTAGTCAGGACAGGACCTGGGCAGGGCGGATGCAGTGAAATGCTCCCAGGAGGCCTGAGGAGGGGGCGAGGCGAAGAGGAACTGCTGTGATTCTAGAGTCTGGAGTGTGCATGTTCTCCTGAGGCTCTGGGACCCCCCTGTGACCTCAGGACCCTTGAGCTCTTTCTGGGCTCTCCACAATACCCTCCCCCCAATCCTTGCCATCCCCTTTCTCCACGAGAGAGGCTCATCTGTCCCCTTTGCTTGCCTGGCTCATGGGGACCCAAACTACATTGTGACAAGGACAGAGATCTTCAAAAACGTTCACGGAAAATGCGCATTATGAAAAACGTATGCCTGGATTTCAAGTCTTTTTGCAACAAAATTAACTCAAAATTTTTTTTTCTTTTGAGAGGTTTTTGCCTTAGGGCACATGCACTTGCCAGACAGAGACAGAGACAGTGAGAGAGAATGTGAGAAATCACCGCCTGGGGGGTGGCCACGGGACAATCCCTTCTCCATTCTCCTCCCGTGATCTTGGTCACACACACACATGTGCCTGGTGTGATTTTCAAGCCACCGGGTCTAGGACTCAAATGGCCGTCAGCCACGTGGGAGCCCAGCGACGAAACTGCTACGGTATCTGCTGGTTCCTTAACTCATACTTTAATTCCATTTTTCATGAACTTTTAAAATATTCTGAATAGAAGCCTCTTGTGGATTCCATTTTATTTTAATCATATCCTTTTGTTTCTTTTCTTTTCTTTCTTTCTTTCTTTCTTTCTTTCTTTCTTTTTTTTTTTTTTCCTGCTGCATGCCCTGGCTTGGCCTGTCAGTCTGCTTAGACGAGGGTAACTGTGGACAGACTGCATGAGTGCCCCCTTTCATCACGAGCTCCACCAAAAACTACGTGGCCTGAGGATCAAGCCTGAGCCCTCAACCTGGTACCAAGGACCTGTTCCTCCCACCCTGCCCACTGCCACGCTCACAGCACCTAGTCTGACGGCCACTGTCCCTGGAGCCTCTGCCTGTGCTCCCCACCCTCGCCCACCCCACTGGCCGGAACGCCAGTGCTGCCACACACTTTGGTGGCCAGTCTGAGCTGCTGCCTGCAGCCCTGCTCCCAGCTCTCCAGCGCCCCTTCTGCTCAGGGTCACTTTCTGCTCACCTGTGCACCCCGGGCAGGAACAGCGCTTGGCCACACCTCAGCCCTCAGTAGACTTGCCCTTGGTGAGCAAACAGCTCCCTTCTCACACAAGAAACTCCTCGCTCAGACGGGCTGCCAGCATTGTGCACACAGCAAGGCTCCCCTAGCTACACTGACCTCCGGTCTACCCTCTTCTCGGGGCCAGGGGCCTCCTAGGGGTGGCTACTTCCAAAGCTCAGCTGTGCAGTTGTATGGGCCCATGTCGGCACAGGAACTCTTGGGAGGTGTGGGTGGGCCTGTGGCCTCCCACACGTGTGCTGGCCCTCACCACCCGGAATCAGCTGTAGTCAGGACAGGACCTGGGCAGGGCGGATGCAGTGAAATGCTCCCAGGAGGCCTGAGGAGGGGGCGAGGCGAAGAGGAACTGCTGTGATTCTAGAGTCTGGAGTGTGCATGTTCTCCTGAGGCTCTGGGACCCCCCTGTGACCTCAGGACCCTTGAGCTCTTTCTGGGCTCTCCACAATACCCTCCCCCCAATCCTTGCCATCCCCTTTCTCCACGAGAGAGGCTCATCTGTCCCCTTTGCTTGCCTGGCTCATGGGGACCCAAACTACATTGTGACAAGGACAGAGATCTTCAAAAACGTTCACGGAAAATGCGCATTATGAAAAACGTATGCCTGGATTTCAAGTCTTTTTGCAACAAAATTAACTCAAAATTTTTTTTTCTTTTGAGAGGTTTTTGCCTTAGGGCACATGCACTTGCCAGACAGAGACAGAGACAGTGAGAGAGAATGTGAGAAATCACCGCCTGGGGGGTGGCCACGGGACAATCCCTTCTCCATTCTCCTCCCGTGATCTTGGTCACACACACACATGTGCCTGGTGTGATTTTCAAGCCACCGGGTCTAGGACTCAAATGGCCGTCAGCCACGTGGGAGCCCAGCGACGAAACTGCTACGGTATCTGCTGGTTCCTTAACTCATACTTTAATTCCATTTTTCATGAACTTTTAAAATATTCTGAATAGAAGCCTCTTGTGGATTCCATTTTATTTTAATCATATCCTTTTGTTTCTTTTCTTTTCTTTCTTTCTTTCTTTCTTTCTTTCTTTCTTTTTTTTTTTTTTTTTGGAGAGGCATTTTTGTTATAGGGTGTGTTGCCAGCCAGACAGAGAGAGACAGAGAGATAGAAAACGAGAAATCACCCCCCAGGGGGGCATGGCCACGCCGCAATCCCTTCTCCTCCATTCTCCTCTCGGGATTTGGGCACACATGCACACATGTCCGGCGTGAGTTTAAACCACTGGGTCTGGGACTCGAACTGCTGGCAACTACATGGGAGTCCAGCGACATAGCCATTACGCTAACTACTGGTCCCCATATCAGTTTGTTTCTAATGGTAGAACTTTGTTTTTTATTGCCAGAGGCGTGTGTGTTCAAGAGGCAGAGAGGGAGAGAGCGCCCCAGATGGGGCATCGTCATGGCACAGCCCTTTCTCTTCCATCTCTGCATCCTGTCAGCATGTGGGCATCACGACGTCACTGCCCAGCAGTAACACGCGGGCTCCAGGTCCCGGTGCACAGAGCATAACCCCTGTACTACAGGCCGGCCTTCCACGAATTCTCTGAAGTCCCGTACAGCTGGCAAATGAAAGGGGATGGAGAGGGCATCGAAGGGAAGGTATAGCAGTCTCCACCTCACGTGGGGCCTCTGTGGGAACTGAGCCCGCCTCCAGCACCCCCTTAGCACCAAGTCACTAGGTAGAGTCCCCTCTGACCCTAGGCCAACAGCCCTCCACTATCACATAGTGTCACACTCCTGTAGGTAAGAAACACAAAGAGGGGCAGGTTTATCTTTTAATAAACATTCACAGATTCGTTAAAAAATTATTTGATAAAAAAGAACCAAGGTAGGGACCAGCAGTTAGCATAATGGCTATGTCGTTGGACTCCTAAGTAGTCGTCTGTGGTTTGAGTCCCGGACCCAGTGGCTTAAACTCACGCCGGGTGCATGTGCGTGTGTGCCCAAGATCCCAAGAGGAGAATGGAGGAGAAGAGATTGTGGCATGGCCATCCCCTCTGAGGGATGATTTCTCGCTTTCTGTCTCTCTGTCTCTCTCTGTCTGTCTGGGGAGTGCACGCGCCCTATAGCAAAAAACCTCAAAAAAAAAAAAAAAAAAAAAAGAACTAAGGTAACACATTAGCCCTGAAGTGAATTTTACAGAAACAGCCTCTCTTCTTTCATCTCATCCCTAATACCCCAACTTTACCTAGTTTGCTTAATGAATAGAGATCCCATAATTTAATAATAAACCAATAAGCCAATATACAAATTAAAATGAGCAAAGTAAGCCATTCAATTCACAGAAAAAACAAATTCCTTTTCAAAAAGGTTTATTTTAGGGACCAGAAGGTACTGTGGTTGTTTAAGGTGCTGGACTCCCACATGGCTGACCACAGTTCGAGTCCCAGACCTGATGGCTTGCTATCTCATTTCCCCTACTCCCCTCCTCTGGAGAGTGAGCACACCCAGTAGCAAATTTAAAAAATAGTAATACAGTTATTTTTAAAAAGTTTCTTTTAGGGCCAGGTGGTGGCATGAAGGTTAAGGAGTTGGATTCCACATGGCTGGCAGCACAGCTCAAGTCCTAGAACTGGCCCCTTGAAAATCATGCTGTGCACGTGTGCATACGTGCCCGAAATCCTGAGAAAAGGCTGGAGGAGAAGGAACTGTGGCATGGCCATCTCCTCTGGGGGTGATTTCTCACTTTCCTTCTCTGTCTCTGGTAAGAGCTCCTCCTTATAGCAAAAGCTTAAAAGTTTAAACATTTTTTTCCCTGGGAAGAAGGGGCAACAGGGGCTTCACGCCACAATCCATGCAGTCCCAGCTGGCCTTTAGCAGGGTGTGTTTGTACCTGGTACGCTCAGGCAGGTTCTAGGACACTAACCCAGGATCTGTCCCATGTGGGTCCAGTTGTATTATTGCCGCACTGTCAGCTGGTGAGTCAACCTTTTTTTTTTTTTTTTTAAAGATTTATTTATTTATTTATTTAGGTTTCTTTCCTTTTTTTTTTTTTTTTTGCTATTGACATGTGCGCTCACCAGGAAGACAGAGAGAGAAAGAGAGACAGAAAGCGAGAAATCACCCCCCGGGGGGATGGCCATGCTAAAATCCCTTCTCCTCTATTCTCCTCTCAGGATCTTGGACACACATGCACACGCGCCCGGCGTGAATCTAAGCCACCCGGTCCGGAACTGGAACGCGGTCAACTACATGGGAGGTCAGCGATATAGCCATTACATTAACTGCTGGTCCCTATTTATTTAGTTTTATTGTTATCACTAGTTAATTCATCTGAGAGTGAGGGAGTGAGAGCAAGAGAGAGAGCACGCAGGTGTGAGAAAGCAAGCCGCCAGGTACTGGACTCAAACCACAGTGGGCTGTGCGGGAGTCCAGTGCCTTAACCACGCCACCTGCTGGCCCCCCATCAACTAATTCTTAACATGAAAAATGCTTACTATTTCACTCCTAAGAGCAATACCAATTGACACTGAAAGGTACTACTTTTTCATGTAGCTTGGTACAGATCAAATATTTGCGAACAGGCCCAGCTATAAAGATGAACAGAGCACCATGCCCTGAGAGGCTGGACACCACACAGGAGGCCCAGGAATGTGCCAGGCACACTTGTGCATGCCCTGAATCCTGGCTAACTGGGAGGCTGGGACAAGACTGTGATATGGTGACCAATGTGACCATTGGAGGTGGCTACCTCTGTCTTTTTCCTCTCATAAAGAAAAAAAATCAGAAACAATGTTCAGTAACACATGGGTAGAAGTCTGCGGAAGTGTTTTCACATATTGCGGGTGGGAAAGCAAATGGATACTGGTTTTATGAAGAGCAACTCTGCGATGGCTGTCGGCATTATAACTGCACAGACACGTTGGCTAGCAATTCCAGCTCTGAGGATTTAACCTGCAAATAAAATATATATGTATGAAAGGAGGTAGGTACAAGATGTTTGCTGCAAGGCTGCTGGGCATAGAGAAAGACTAGACATGCTTCTAACATTCAAATTGGGAACATTCATATGAATGACACACAGGTCATGCAGCCACAGAAGAGCACTTCTGGAATGGCAGAGAAAGGACTGCTGAAACCCACTCCTCTATGATGCCACTGGACACTAGTAAAACTGACAAAGTAAACTTTTTAGAAACTTTTAAAAAAAGGTTTGCTAACAAAAGGCTTATAACAATCCAAGGAGTGTTTATTCAAGAAAAATGGCCAAGTCCTGATAAGAACAGTGGGTTCTGTGGAATTTAACTTGCACCATTCCCATTTCTCTTGCTCCAACATCACAGAAGTCTTTAATTGCCAGAGAACGCATGCACTTGCCAGAGAGGGAGACAGAGAGAGGACAGAGAGGAGAAAGCAGCCCTTGATGGGGCATGGTCATGCACAATTCTCTCTCCTGTACTTCTCCATACTGTCAGATTTGGGGCATGCATATACAAGTTTTGGTATGTTTTTCAAGCCACCAGGGCCAGGATTTGAACCATGGGCAACTATGCGGGATCTAGCTCTCCATATGCAGTACTTAACTATGGCACTACAGGGGCTGGTGCCAGCCGAAGCCTTTAAAACCAACAGCTTAATATCCACAGCAGCTGTGGAAAGCAGCAGCTTGGCAGCCACTGGAAATGGAAGACGGTTTAGAAGTCCCCCAAAGACCACATCCTCGGGGACTGTCACTACCTGTCTTGTCTGGCTGCTCTCTGAAAAAAAAAACAAAACAAACAAACAAAAAACACTCATAAACCTTGTCTTTATTTGGCCGGATTCAGAGGGTGTGTTGAAAACAAGCAACTGAATTGTTAAACACTGCGCCTGCCTGAGATGGCCAAGAGGCTGGCTACAAATGTAATGAAGATCCAATGAATGTGATGCCCCTAGTGGTCAGTGAAAAGCTCTGCCATGTACCTGGAGAAATGGAAGGTCCTGCATACACACCACAGGGCTGTGTGACTTTGAGGCTCTGTGTAAGAAGTGAGAGCTAAGGCAGAGCTGGCAACCACCTGCCTGAGCACTTACGGTACACCCTCTCCACAATGGCTCATCAGTAAAAACTGCAAGATTGATTGGTTCAAAGCACTTAAGGGAATCTAGGGACCAGCAGTTAGCGTAATGTCTAAGTCGTTGGACTCCCATGTAGTCAACTACGGTTCGAGTCCCGAAACCAGTGGCTTAAACTCATACCTGGCATGTGTGAGTGTGTTCCCAAGATCCCAAGGGGAGAATGGAGGAAAAGGGATTGTGGCATGACCGTCCCCCCTGGGGGGGCGTGATTTCTTGCTTTCTGTCTCTCTGTCTCTTTCTGGCAAGTGCATGCACCCTATAGCAAAAACCTCTCCAAAAAAAAAAAAAAAAGCACTCAGAGGAATCTCTGTGTAACCACTGACTACTAAGCAAACCAAGCAGAGCCTTCAGTGACTACTCACAACACAGAGTACTGACTTACAGAATTAGTTCAAGACACTAAACAAGTAGTAACAACAAAATAAATCACACATCCTGTGGAAATAGGATTTGATTTCCAGAATTGTATATCATATTATTTAAAAAGTCCAATTTTCGGCAGAGGCAAATGACATAATGGTTATATCACTGGACTCCCATGTGGTTGATTGCAGTTCGAGTCCCAGAGTCAGTGACTTAAAACTCATGCCGGGAGTGTGTGCGTGCATGTCCAAAATCCCAAGAGGAGACTGGGGTAGAAGGGACTGTGGCATGGCCATCCCTCCTGGAGAGTGAGTTCTTGCTTTTCAGTCTCTCTGAATCTCCAGCATGTGTAAGTGCCCAATACCAAAAAATCGCTCTCTCTCTCTCTCAAAAAAAAAAATCCAGTTGTCAACAAGAAATCTAAGACACACAAAGAAACACTGTATATTTCCTTGGCTCACACATGGAGAGAAGGCAGTGACCAGAAACTGTCCTTGAATAAGCTGTGATGTTGTACTTGCCAGACAAATACATCTTTAAACCAGCAACTCTAAATACGTTAAAAGAACTAAAGGAAATTATATCTGAACAATGAATGAATCTAATGCTTCACTAAATAGAATGCAAATATATACTAGGGTACAAAGATACCAATATTAAAGAAGAGAACCAAACAGAAATTTTGGAATAATAAAACTGAACAACTCAAGAGCAGCCAGGAGGCCTGGTGTTTAAGGCAGCTAAATCCCACATGGCTGACTGTGCAGTTTGTCATGGACCTGGCCCCTTGAAAAACATGCCAGGCGCATGTATTTACATACCTGCCCACACTCCTGAGACAATAGAGGAGAAGGGACTGAGGTGTGGCCATCCCCCAAGGAGGTAATTTTTCACTTTCTCTCCCTCTCTCTCTGGTGAGCACATGCACCCTATAGCAAACTAAAAAAATAATAGCCAAAATGAAAAGTACAGTGCATCAGACATTAGCTGGTAAAAGCAAGCATCTACAGCCTTGAAGACAGGTCAATTGAGATGATCTGGTCTGAGGAACAGACACAAAGAATAAAGAAAAAAAGAACAGACTCTCAGAATCCAGTGGACACCACCTATTAGATCAACATGCACATTGTGGGAGTTCAGGGAGAGGAGAGATAAAAAGGGGTAGAAAGAATATTTAAAGAGCTGGCCCTGCAACTTAGTGGTTAAGGAATCAGGATCCCACATGGACAACCGTGGTTCAAATTTGGATCCCAGACTTAAACACACCAGCCACATGTGTGCATGCCCCAAATCTCAACAGGATGGAGAAACAGAGAGGGGATAGCAGGAGATCATTTCCCATTAGGGAATGGTTTTTTTCCCTCTCCCTCGGTTTCTCTGGAAAGGGCACAAGACCTCTGGTCATTAAAAGAAAGAAAAAGATGGGGACCAGCAGGTGGCATGGTGGTTAAGGCGCTGGACACTTCCACATGGCCAACTGTGGTTCGAGTCCTGGACCTGGTGGCTTGCTTTCTCACTTTCCCTCTTTGTCTCTCTCTGTGTCTCTCTCTGATCAAATTAAAATAAAATGAATGAATAAGTAAAATGAAATAAATAATTCTTTAAAAAAAAAGAAAGAAAAAGAGAAAGAGCATTTGAAGAAATGGCAAAGAAAACCTCCTAAGCTTGATGAACAACATTAATTTTTAAAATTATTTATTTAATTTTATTTATTCACTCATTTATTTTAATTTGACCAGAGAGAGACACAGAAGAGGAAAGAGAGAGAGGGAAAGTGAGAAAAGAAGCCACCAGGTCCGGAACTCGAATCGTTGTTGGCTACGTGGGAGCATCCAGCACCTTAACCACCATGCCACCTGCTGGTCCTGAAAAACATTAATATTTACAGCTAAGAAGCTCAATGAACTCCAAGTAGGATACAATCAAAGAGATTCACAACTAGACACATAAAGACAAACTGTCAAAAGCCAAAGATGAGGGGCCAGGAGGTGACATGGTGATTAAGGTGCTAGATTCACACATGGCAGATAGTGGTTCAAGTCCCAGGCCCAGCAGCTTGAAAATCACACCAGGCACATGTGCGTGCAAGTCCAAAATCCTGAGCAAAGAATGAGAGAGAAAGGACTGCTATGTGGCCATCCCCTGGAGAGTGATTTTTCACCTCCCACTCCCCGCTTCTGGTGAGTGCATGTGCTCTATGGCAAAAATCTTAAAAAAAAAAAAAAAGCCAAAGACAAGATGATCTTGAAAGCAGCAAGTGAAAAGCAACTCACTATATACTAGAGATATTCCATGGGAATATCAGCTGGCTTCTCATCAGAAATCACAAAGGCCAGAAAGCCACAGCATGATATATGCAAAGGGTTGAAAGGACCACCAGCCCAAACTTCTTATCTAGCAAAATTATTCTTCAAAGTAAATTAAGACATTCCCAGATGAACAAAATGGAGAGAAATCGCATTGCTGGCAGAACTGCCCTATGAGAATAGTAAAGGAAGCGCTTCTTGCTGAAATGAGAGGCACCAGACTCTGATCCACAAAGAACGCTGGGAAACGTAACTGGGAACAAAGAACGCTGGGAAAGGTAACTACAGAGGCAGAGACAAGACAATCTGAATGAATGCACTTTTGTTCATGAACCTTCTCTTTTCCTATCTGATCTAAAAGACAACTACATAAAGCAATGATTACAAATCCATGTTGACGGGCTTGCAATCTACATAGATGTAACTTGTATGACAGAACCAGCACAAAGAAGTTAGGCGGGAACAGAGCTATATTACAATTCTTGTACATTATTGAAATTATGTTGGTGTCAATCTGAACTAGACTATTTTAAGCTGTTAATTGTAGTAATCAGAGCAACCACTAAGAAAATAACTTACAAAATAGTAAAAGAGACAACAAGGGAATTAAAATGTTACAAGGGTATTAAATATCAATTTAACACACAAGAAAAAAGTAATGGAGGAACAGAAAATGAAAAAGAAGAAAAAATACACAAAACAAACAGAAAAATGGCACAGCTAGCCTCATAGCACATTGGTTAGACGCTATGCATAGGCAGCTGGAGCCCACAGGCTAATTGCAGTTCAAATTTTGGCCCTGCTGGTTTGAAAAACATAGTGTGTGTGCCTGCATGTGCAAAAATCCTGATAGGATGGAGACATGAAGGAAAAAGGATTATAGACATGACCATGCCCCATGCAGGGAGGGGTCTCTCTGGTGAGTACATGTGCTCCTTGGCAAAAGAAGGAAGAAGGAGGGAGAAAGGACAGGGAAGCTAGAAGGGAAAGAAGAGAAGGAAGACAGTGAGGAAAGGAAGGGAGGGATTACCTTATCAGTAATTACACTTAATGTAAATGGATTAAATACTTTTCTCAAGTAGCAGAGATTAGCAGAACAAATTAAAGACATGATCTAGACCCACTTGTAGTGACCACACACACTGCAAAGATGTTGTACTCCCCAGA